TTGCTTTCTCACTTTCTCTTCTCTCTCACTTGCTCTGTTCTTCTTTGGTCAGATTTTTAAAAAATAAGTAAGTAGATAAAGTTAAATAAAATAATTCTTAAAGAAAAAAAAACCTTAAATTAAAGAAATTTCTCAGTGGGAAAAAAAAACAACATAAGCAAAAAGTTTAAAGGTCAGTTGACACTGGGGCCAGGTGGGGAATAGCAACACACAGTGTTAAAACCTTACCAAACAAAAAGCTGCAACAAATCAATAAGAAAAAGGCAATCAGTAAAAGATTGGGCAAAGGTTATGAATAGGCAATTGACAGAAAAAGAAATACAAGTGGCTAATAAGTATGTTCAACTGTACTTTAAATCAAAGAAATACAATTTAAAGCAGTGATTACTGGGGCCGGCAGGTGGTATAGTGGTTAAGGGCACTGGACTCCCACATGACCAACTACAGTACAATCCTGGACCCAGCGGCTTGCTTTCTCACTTTCCTTCTCCTTCTCTCTCTTTCTTTCTCACTGGTGAAATTAAAAAAATAATAATAATAGAGCTGGCAGGTAGTCTTGTGGCGAAAGATACTGGACTCTCACATGGCCAACTGAGGTTCGAGTCCCAGACCTGGAAGCTTGCTTTCTCACTTGCTCTCTCTCTCTCTCTCACTTTATCCCTCTCTGGTCAAATTAAAATGAATAAAGTTAAATAAAATAATTATTTCAAATAATAATAAATAAGCAAGTTTTTAAAAAAATAACTAAAACAATGATTACTATTTTTCACCAATTGAACCGCAAAAATTAGACTAATTATATCCAGTGTTAGTAAGCATCGTGGATTCCACCATTCTAGAAGAGCTAGTGGTAGGGCCCCAGCACATTGTGAATGTAAAAGTCCCTTGACTCATGGCTCCATTGTTTTGTTTTGTTTTGTTTTGTTTTTCTTTGCCCGAGGGCACATGCACTCACCAGAGAGAGAGGCAGATGAGAAAGAGAAAGTACCCCCAGTCGGGCGTGGTCTTTCAGTTTCTCCATTCTGGGGGGGGAGACCCCCAGTGTGTCTTGCAAGCTGCCAGGACTGGAGCTGGTTGGCCAGGTGGGCGCAGCTCCCAGTGCACAGCACTCAGCCACTGTGCTGCAGGGCTGGCCCAGCCATGCCCCTTCTCCGCGCTTCTCCTACGGAACTACCTGACGGGACCATGCAGGTGTTCACTGCGGTGTTATGTGCGATGGCGAAGAACTGGAGGCCTCATCCACCCCAGTGGGAGTGTGGTGCGCCTTATTTAGACGACAGTGTGACTGTAAGAAAAGAGTGCAATTGCTCTGTGTGTACTGATACAGAAATACATATTCGATGGGTCTTTTTTGTTTTGTTTTTGTTTTTGCTATAGGGCACATGCAATTGCCACAGAGACAGAGAGGGAAGTAAGAAACCCCCCTTCGGTAGGGCCACACCACGGTCCCTTCCCCCCTGAAACACAAAATTGTTTTGAATTCCTTGTGTATACCTAGTCTTTTTCTTCTCACATCTTTCTTTCTTGTCCATTACTCCAACTTTCCAATGGAATAATCAATGAGCAAAAATATTATTATCTCATGCCCTTGACTTTTTTTTTTTTTAGCGGTTTTTGCTATAGGGTGCATGCGCTCGCCAGACAGACAGAGAGAGACAGAGAGACAGAAAGCAAGAAATCCACCCACACCCCAGGAAGGATGGCCACGCCACAATCCTTTCTCTTCCATTCTCTTCTCGGGATCTTGGTTATGCCTGCCACCTGGACCTGGTGGCTTGCTTTCTCACTTTCTCTTCTCTCTCACTTGCTCTGTTCTTCTTTGGTCAGATTTTTAAAAAATAAGTAAGTAGATAAAGTTAAATAAAATAATTCTTAAAGAAAAAAAAACCTTAAATTAAAGAAATTTCTCAGTGGGAAAAAAAAACAACATAAGCAAAAAGTTTAAAGGTCAGTTGACACTGGGGCCAGGTGGGGAATAGCAACACACAGTGTTAAAACCTTACCAAACAAAAAGCTGCAACAAATCAATAAGAAAAAGGCAATCAGTAAAAGATTGGGCAAAGGTTATGAATAGGCAATTGACAGAAAAAGAAATACAAGTGGCTAATAAGTATGTTCAACTGTACTTTAAATCAAAGAAATACAATTTAAAGCAGTGATTACTGGGGCCGGCAGGTGGTATAGTGGTTAAGGGCACTGGACTCCCACATGACCAACTACAGTACAATCCTGGACCCAGCGGCTTGCTTTCTCACTTTACTTCTCCTTCTCTCTCTTTCTTTCTCACTGGTGAAATTAAAAAAATAATAATAATAGAGCTGGCAGGTAGTCTTGTGGCGAAAGATACTGGACTCTCACATGGCCAACTGAGGTTCGAGTCCCAGACCTGGAAGCTTGCTTTCTCACTTGCTCTCTCTCTCTCTCTCACTTTATCCCTCTCTGGTCAAATTAAAATGAATAAAGTTAAATAAAATAATTATTTCAAATAATAATAAATAAGCAAGTTTTTAAAAAAATAACTAAAACAATGATTACTATTTTTCACCAATTGAACCGCAAAAATTAGACTAATTATATCCAGTGTTAGTAAGCATCGTGGATTCCACCATTCTAGAAGAGCTAGTGGTAGGGCCCCAGCACATTGTGAATGTAAAAGTCCCTTGACTCATGGCTCCATTGTTTTGTTTTGTTTTGTTTTGTTTTTCTTTGCCCGAGGGCACATGCACTCACCAGAGAGAGAGGCAGATGAGAAAGAGAAAGTACCCCCAGTCGGGCGTGGTCTTTCAGTTTCTCCATTCTGGTAGGCCTCGGGGGAGACACCCAGTGTGTCTTGCAAGCTGCCAGGACTGGAGCTGGTTGGCCAGGTGGGCGCAGCTCCCAGTGCACAGCACTCAGCCACTGTGCTGCAGGGCTGGCCCAGCCATGCCCCTTCTCCGCGCTTCTCCTACGGAACTACCTGACGGGACCATGCAGGTGTTCACTGCGGTGTTATGTGCGATGGCGAAGAACTGGAGGCCTCATCCACCCCAGTGGGAGTGTGGTGCGCCTTATTTAGACGACAGTGTGACTGTAAGAAAAGAGTGCAATTGCTCTGTGTGTACTGATACAGAAATACATATTCGATGCGTCTTTTTTGTTTTGTTTTTGTTTTTGCTATAGGGCACATGCACTTGCCACAGAGACAGAGAGGGAAGTAAGAAACCCCCCTTCGGTAGGGCCACACCACGGTCCCTTCCCCCCTCTCCTTTCTGGATCTTGGGCACACACAGACACCCAGGGTGATTTCCAGGCCCCCAGGTCCGGGACTGGAACCACAAAGCTGGCTACTGGGGCAGCACCTTAACCTCTGCACCACCTGCTGGCCCTCATGCGACTTTTTTTAAAAAAGAATTATCCCAACTTTAGTGGCTTGAAACACATTTGGGCTCATGTCCATACTTACCCCAAATACTGACAGAATGGAAGATCGAGAGAAGGGATTATGGCAGGACCATACCCCATTGGGGGGGTGCTTTGTTCCCCTGCCTTTGTCTCTTTCTCTGGCAAGGAAACATACTCTCTCACAATTAAAAAAGAAAAAAAGAAAAAAAAATTCCATGCTTCTCAAGTGTTACAGTGGTTACTACTACTTTTATAATCGGGAAAATTAGCAAGCCTCTTTCTCTTTTCTAAGGAGGAAGTTGCACTGGATCCCTAAGGATCTTTCCAACTGTCACATCGGCGTTAAGTTTACTCTCAGATCTCAGATTTGCTTGGATTTTGAAATTTAAAAAAAAAAAAGCTCGACCCCAGCGTTGCAGTGCTGTATGCCAAAGTGCCCGAGAATGCTTCCGGCCGTTTCCGTGGGGGAGCGGTGTGATCTCCTAGGCTCCTTGCACTTTCTTTCAGCTCTAGAAACCTGTCCTCCTGGTGTTCTGATTTCCTGCCTCCCTGGGGCGAGGGCAGACCCTGCAGGACTGAGGTCTGTCCTGGCCAGCAGGGTTGCCAGGCTTGCTCTGGGCCTCAGAGAAGAGAGGCAGTTTCTGTTGTAGGGTCTGCGTGGCTGGCCTCCCTCCAAGAGCACGTGCTTGTTAGTGTGGTTGACGCATCTTTTCTGCTGCAGCCGTCTCTACCACGGCTTCCTGAAAACACTTGAGAACACATGTGTCCCCAGAACTTAAACCTGAGACCGGTTTTCAGGAATCTGCTCTGTCCTCGTGTTCTTCCCCACTCTAGCCATTGGAAGGACAGCAGCCAACCAGGATATGGTGAACTTGAACTCAGAGACTTCTGTCCTAGGGCTTTACTTGAAATGGGTTCTCCCCTCGACAGCTGCAATTGCAGAGAATGCCAAGTATCTGGGCTTCCTGAGCCTTAACGAGGCTGGTAGATGTGCCCTCACCCTCACCGGCCCGGTGGGCTTTGCTCTGTTCATCTCACCAACTGTCCAGATCTCGAATCAGTCCTCCTGGGAGTAGTGTCCTTCTTGGTGCCGGGGTTGACATAAACCTGGCATGTCCCCAGGCCCGTAAGCAACCCTGTCCGGTTCCCCAGGCAATCCAGCACCCATGTCGACCTCTGGCAGGAAGGCTGTGGGAGCAGGCGTCCCAGTCCCTCAGCCCTTAGTATGTAGAGATGGCAGCTCCGAGCAGGGCCACTGTGGGACAAGCCCAGGGTGTGTGTGGCATTTATTGATGCATAGAGAGCCCTAGATGTCGTGCCTCTGGTACAGTGCAGCGTGGTGGCTCTAGCCTGACGCCTGATGCCACCTGAGGCCCACGCATAGGCCGTGAGTCCCAGCCAGACTCATGTTGTCGTGCAGAACACCTACTGAGAGCCTCTGGGGACCGGGCAGAAGTTCACAGCCTTTGCCCCTGGAATCGCCACTGTAGGATGAGAGCTGCAGCAAGGCAGGCTTCTGTGCCGGGCGTCACCGACGTGCCCTCTAACCACAGTTTTCTCAGCTCTTGATTCCTGAACTACCGTAGCCCTCCTTTCCGCCCCATTTCTGATCTGGGGGATTTCTTTTCTTTCAGTTGCAGAGCTATTTTGCTGCATGTGAAGATGAGACCCCCGCCATCCGGAATCACGACAAGGTCCTGCAACGTCTGTGTGAGCACCTGGACCATGCCCTGCTGTACGGGTAAGGTACAGGGAGCTTCGGGAGGCCGAGGGGCACACGGGGCAGGGCGGCCTTGTCTGACTTTTATCTATATGTCTGTGCTTAGCCCAGTGAATGGTCTCTGGGCAGGCATGCAGGATCTGGGGGTCCTTCCCTTCCAGAGCTTGCTGCCACCTTGGAGGCTTTTGGGGCAGCCTATCGGGTCGCAGCAGCTCCTGTCCTGTTTTCACAGACTGCAGGACCTGTCATCCGGCTACTGGGTGCTCGTGGTACATTTCACCCGGAGAGAGGCTATCAAGCAGATCGAGGTGCTGCAGCATGTGGCCACCAACCTGGGGCGCAGTGAGTCGGGAGCCTGGGAAAGGGACTGGCTCCACCCTACCTACAGGTTGCTCGAGGCTCAGGCTCAGCCTCAGGGTCAGGCCTAGGAAGCTGGTTACCTTGTGGGGTCCAGTGGTAGTGGGATGTTAAAATGCCAGCACCCTCCAAGGGGCAGTGCTTTCCTGCCTGTGAGTAGTGGGCTGGAGAGCGAGGTGCTGGTGGGAACTGGAGTCCTCCTGCATCCCGCTGAGCATACGAAGGGTCTGGTTCTCTCCCCGAGCTAGGATCAGAGTAGCCCACGGCCTCGGTGTGGAGCACTCGCATTTCTCAGCCATCTGCCGTGTACAGTCTGCTCTTTGCCAGAGCTTCCTGGCCAGCTGCAGGCTGGGGGCTGTCTGGGAACAGGGTTCGCGGGTATCGGTAGTAGCAAGTGACAGCAAGTATCGGATTGTCCAGTCCCTCACCTGCTCTTTCTTTCCTTTCTGCTCTTGCTTGGCAAAAACAGCCAGCACCCTGGCATTCCCGCCAGTGACCCCTGCCTTTGTTTGTAGGCCGGGCCTGGCTGTACCTGGCCCTCAACGAGAACTCTTTGGAGAGCTACCTGCGGCTGTTCCAGGAGAACCTGGCTCTGCTGCATAAATACTATGTCAAGTGAGTGTCCAGGAGCCTCCGTCCCTCCTGGCATCTTTGGTCCCCTCAAGCCTGTCCCACACACCCCCACAGTGTGCCCGTCAGAGCTGGGCTGGCCTCGCACACTGAGGGCACACCAGTGATGGCCACAGAGTCATGGAAGCCTCTCCTGTAGTGTGGGGGCCTCCGCCAGCAGCCCTTGGGCTGTCCCCACCGGGGTTGGGGACAGTGTGAACAATGTGGCTTCTACTACTACCTGATCCCCTACCTAGGCCTCAGGCCTACCAGAATACCAAAGCTGCACCGAGCCGCTGCAAGAACAGGCTATTTATAGCAGCCGCGGAGGGCCTGGCGAGCCTCATGCCACAGGCTGGTCTCTGCAGACACTGGCAGGAAAGTGCAGTGTGGAGAATGCCAGAAAGGGGTGGTGACAGCCATATTGAGCTGGGTGCCGTCTAGGGGACAGGGATGTCACATGTCAAGTTCTGACACAGTTGAGTTGTGGGAGCTGTTGGGCCAAGCTGGGAACCAGACCCAGAAGCACCATCTCGCCTCACAGGAACGCCCTGGTCTGCAGCCACGATCACCTGACCCTCTTCCTGACCTTGGTGTCCGGGCTGGAGTTCATCCGCTTCGACCTGGAGCTGGTGAGACACCACAGCTCCCGCTGCTGTGGGAACAGAGGAGTGGGCAGAGTGGGCGGTGGTCTCAGCGTTCAAGTCTCTAGGAGCTTGTTGGGTATGGTTCAGCTTGGGAAACGTCTTGTTTTTGTTTTGTTTTATTTTGTTTTGTTTATTCATTTATTTTTTCAATTTGACTGGAGAGAGAGAAGGAAAGTGAGAAAGCAAGCCTCCAGGTCCAGGACTTGAACTGTGGTCAGCCATGTGGGAGGTATCCAGCGCCTTAACCACCACACCACCTGCTGGTCCCCCTTTTTTTTTTAATCTGTGATGAATACATTTATTGTCTTACTAAAATCATTATCCAGAAATATGGGAATACAAGAAAAGATGCATGCCCTCAGGCACCTGGTGGTCAAGCAATGCCTTGTCTGCTCAGGTGAGGGAATGGTGTCAGGGTCAGTGGAACTGAGGAGGGGGAGGGTTCTCTCTTGGCTTATGTATGGCCAGCCTTCCTGGTTAGGTGACTTCTTTCCATCTCTCTATTCCGGTGTGGAGGAAAGCCACACTGCCTGGAGTTGCTTAGCCCAGGAGGACATGCCTCATGTTTAGGACGTGAGAATTTGGGAGAGACAAGGTGGATTCAGCCCTGTGCTTCCTGGGATTCGGAAAGTGTCCTTGGCTCCGTGCTTCCCAGCTGGCACGCTCTCAGCCAGCCTCGCTATCCTCACATCTCAAGCTCCTCTCACCGTCATGCGCTGTGCAAAAATGCCCCGGACAGGGCCAGAGAGGCTCCAGAGCACTCTCAGACAGGCTCGTCAAGGCCGATGTGGCTCTCCCGTCCAGATCCAGTCACCTTCCTTGGCCCCCGCCCCCAGCACAGGAATTTGGCTAGTAGCAGCATTTGGGGCAAGTAAGCGATCCTAACAGTAGAAGAGCTGCAGGAGGTATCAGAGGGCATCGCTGGGTCCCATTGTCCCTGTCAGGCCGGAGCCCCGCATTGAAAGTCCCAGACTCATGTTACTCTTGTCAGCAGCTTATCTCTGAATGTATTACTTTAAATCATTGGTTTCCCAAAGAAAAAAGAGCATGGGAGGTGTGACAGGGTCAGACCTGTGTCTCCCAGTCCTGGATTCGGCCCTCCGGGGAAGGCCAGGTTTCCCAACCCACCTGAGGCCTCCCCTGAAATGTCTCTCGTCCACTCTCTCCGCAGGATGCCCCGTACTTAGACCTGGCTCCCTACATGCCTGACTACTATAAACCTCAGTACCTGCTGGACTTTGAAGACCGCCTTCCCAGCTCAGTCCATGGCTCGGACAGCCTGTCCCTCAACTCCTTCAACTCCGTCACCTCCACCAACCTGGAATGGGATGACAGTGCAATTGCCCCATCTAGTGAGGGTGAGTGGCCCCGGGCAGAAAGCAGCTGATCCTCTGCTGAGAACAAGACTTGGAGCTGCTACAGCCTGACTGGGTGACATCGTTCTTGGTGAATTTGGTCTGGTGGTTGCAACTTGCAGCTAATCGGGGCTGGTTATTTCCCAGATCTTCATTTCCTCAGAATCCCTTTGGTGACTAAAAACTGGGTTCTGGGCACAGAAAGTCAAAACACAATTTTATGAATTTTAGATCCTTTTCCAGAAAGCTCTAGTCACCCACGCAGGGCCAGTTTCTGAGCAAGAGAGATTAGCAGTTTGATCTGGAAATTCTTGTCTGACATAGCAAGGGTGAGTGTTGCCTCCTTATGAGAAATGGTGCTGCCCTTGGTTCCAGAAGAGGCCAAGCAGCCCCTCAGAGGAGAAGAGCAGAAATGTAGGGGAGGGCTGGCTCCACAGCCTAGGTTAAGGGAGCCAAATTCCACATGGCTGACCGTGGTTCGAGTCCCAGCCCCAGCAACTTGAAAACACCAGGCACTTGTGTGTGCATGCCTACAATCTGGGCAGGATGGAGACATGGAGAAGGGATTGTCATGCTCTCTCCTGGTCTCTCTGTCTCTGGTGAGCGTATGTGCCCTCTGGCATTAAAAAAAAAAAGTGTAGGGAGACATGCAACAATGTCTCTTGTGTCCCCCAGGCCCTTTTGCACGTGTTAGGGATCAGGTGGCGTCTCCCCAGAGACCGAGGGAGAATCGTAGGTCATTTTGTCATTTCTGTCCAGCAGCATGCTAGAGCAGCTTGGTTTCTCTTGAGCCCTAGGCCTCAGTACGTGTCTGTTTCCCACCTTCACCCCAGGGAATGGCAAATCTCTTCATTTACTCCACCCCGCCTCACCTCCAGGGAGGGGCCCAAGCCCCAGCTCAGCCCTGAGGACTTCCTAGAATTGCCTCAGCATCGAGACTTTGGCCTTCCTCTTTATTTTGACTTGGGCCACAGGTCATGTGTCCCAGAGGGAGGGAGGCCACTTTCAGATTCTGTCACAAGACATGCTCTGCTTTTTGCTCGGTGGAAGACAGTGACTCTGACTCCTCGGGTTGGCCTCATGGGCCTTAGAGAAGTCAGAGAGAGGAGCCTCAAAGGATTAGTGAGGCCCCTGTAGCTGGAGGTGTCTCTGCGAGTCCGCCTCACAGCCAGTCAGAGGTTCTACCCCTCAGGCTGCTGGAGCAGGACGTCACTGCCCTTCCAGGGTGTGGAGGGGAGGGAGGCGAGGGGTAGGGAACAGTTAGGGACAAGGGAGCCCCGGCTTCTCTCTGCCCGAGCCAGGTTCCGACCTAGGAAAGGGGTCCCCAAGTCTTTCCAGCAGGTCCCAGGCTCCTGGAGAGTGCCGTGCTGAGGAGCAGCGGGCCTCGTGGGCATCCGGAGGTTGTTAGACAAAGTGTGGAAAGGTTGAGTCCTTCCTCCCCTGTCTCCTCCCCATCTCCCACCCCTTTGCCCCACCCTCCCTGTTCTTCCACTGCCTGTTTCTAACCCTCAGTTTTGTCCCTCATTTTTGTAGATTATGATTTTGGAGATGTGTTTCCAGCAGTGCCGTCCATACCCAGCACAGACTGGGAAGGTGGGACAGAGTCCGCTGTGACCCTTTTCCTGTTTTGCAATGTGTCCATGCCAAGCTTGCTGCATGTTTCGGAATCAGCTTGTTATTTATAATAATGCCCATGATCCTAATAAAGCCAAGCAAGTTCTACCAGATGGAATTCTGCAGGAGGAGGGCTTGACCGTTAGCCCTGCGCGAGTCCGTTCTCCCAGTGACTCCTGCCTTTGCACAGTGGCCTCGAGAAGTCACTAAGTGACTGCGTTTAGGGGGACACCAACCACCCTTCCTGATCCCCATGCCAGCCGATGCCCTCGTGGTGTGCTGCGGCCTGACCTCGTAGTGGAGACTCTTCCTGGAGGATGATGCCTTTAAACAGGAGCATCATTTAGAAAAAAAAAGAGTGTTGTAAGCGCCTTTGGGTGAGATGAGCATCCAGGAGAAAGAGTCTGATCTGGTCCATTCCTAATGGCTCTTGGGTGTTTTTGAACAAGATTGAGGCCCAAGTGAGGGAATTGCCCAGGCACAGATAAACTTCCTACAGGGAGAGATTCTTTTCAACATTTTAGGACATATTAAAATAAAATCTGTGCAGGACCAGCAGTTATGGTTATGTCGCTGGACTCCCATGTAGTCAACTGCGGTTCGAGTCCTGGACCCGGTGGCTTAAGCTCACGCTGGGCACGTGTGCGTGCGTGCCCAAGATCCTGTGAGGAGAATGGAAGAGAAGGGATTGCGACGTGGCCATCCCCCCTGGGGGGTGATTTCTCGCTTTCTGTCTCTCTGTCTCTCTCTGTCTTTCTGGCGAGCACACGCACCCTATAGCAAAAGAAAAAAAAAAAAAAAGAAAAAGAAAAATCTTCTCCAAAAAAAATAAAATAAAATCTGTGAGCTTCCTGCCCTTGAAGGAAGCAGCAGTTCATGGGAATTTTTCTGCCTTTAGCCCCACTTCTCGACTGGTAAAAGTCATGACGCTCGTCTCCAGGTTGGCATGACTACTCAGAGCAAGGGTTGTGTGTGTCTGATAAGGTGAATGCTTGCTCCTGAGAGCAGAGCCTCCTCCCCTCTGGGCCTCAGGCAGGCTGGAGAACAGCCTGAGAGCGTCTCCCCTGGGGACAAGGAGCAGCGGCAGTCCTGTTATTACAGACACGGTCTCTGGTGTCAGATGTCTCTTCCCAAATAATGTGAGCACGGAGTAGTCTAGCTTTGAGGGAAATAAGACCGCTGGGAAAATCAGTTACGTCACCAGGCCAGGAGCATTTCAGTTCAAGTAGCTTGAAACCCAGAATTCCATCGTGGCATCGTTTGTCCTCAGCCTCTCTTCTCGCAGCACACATGCCGGGCATTGGTTTCCCTCAATTCTAACAACTAACCCCCCTGACATGCCTGCTCCGGTCACCTGACAGGCAGTGCCTGACCTGCGTCCGCAGCCTCCAAACCCCCCTGGCCTGAGAACTAACAGCCCAGTGGCTCTGCCTGCTCAGGGCTGGGCCCGGGGTGGGGTGAACTTTGGCCCAGCAGCGACTTTCTGCTTCCCTGAGTCCCTCGAGCTCCAAAGACTCCCTGAGAGCCTGTGCTGGCAGCTCACTGGGGGCTCTGTGTTCTCCTTAGACCCAGAGGAAAACAGGACTTGGGGGGCAGTTCCAAACTCAGGGCCCTGGTGCACAATGTGGGGTAACCTTTAGGTGGTCTTTGGCTTCTTTACCAACCTGGTGGGCATTCTAGCCCTGACACCCAGCTATCCGGTGGTCCGTTCTCTCACCCCTGGGACCCCTCACGGGAGCAGCTGCAGAGCTAAGAAGAGCGACTGGGGCTGGGATGAGACACACAAGTCTGCAGGAACCCTGACTGGGCCTGAAGGGCCTGGTCTGTGCATCTGAGGGCTAAGGCTCTGGGGCCCCAGGAGACCTGAAGAGAGCCTCACCTGTCACTAGTGTTTTTCTGACAGAGCTGGTGGCCACTCCTAGCCCCCTCCCTGTCCTTACATTAAAAGATGGTGTGCTTTTAGAAAAATGGATGATGCACTGCAGCCAGTTGCCCCGTGGTTCCCAAGACCCACTAGGAAGGTGACAGCAGGTTGGGCCCCTCAAGGGGCTGCAGGGAGCATGCTTGTCACTGCTCTCCCGGGCAGTTAATGGCCAGCAAGATGCGTGCGCGCCAGCAAATGGGGTGTGAGCAGCCACTGGCCCTCACCCAGGCGCTGCACCAACTGGGCCTCTGCTCCCCAGCCTGGTGCCCTTCTCTCGCTGCCCTGCTCCAGAACTGAGGGTGGTTGGGTAGTGCAGTGGGGTGAGCAGTTCGCCAGCTTCTGTCTGGAGGAGCACAGCATCCCTGGTCGTTTCCCCGCTGTGGACCCACGGGCTAGGGCACCACTCAGAACCAGTCAGCAAACCGAGGTGTGAACGAGTGGGGTTTTCAGCAGCACCCTTAAAAGGGGTACCTGGTCCTGCTCCCGGGAGTGTGCTGGTGGGGTGTTGGAGACACAAGGACTCCCGACCCCGTGCCCTGGGTCTTTTTTCTGCCCTTCCTGTGGCCCTCACCCTCTGGGTTCCCATGAGGGTCCTTGCCTTCTGAGGTTCCTGCAGCTCCTCCCCCTGCTCTGTACCCCTCGTTTTCTCTGATTTCTTCCTCTATTCTTTTCCTTAGCATTCCTTTTATCCGCCTCTGCGGGGGAGCCTTTACAGGACTTGGGTGTCTCAGCTCTGCTAGTGGTGTGTGGGGCTGAGGGGGCACTGGGCGTCTGTCCCTCCAGCATCTTCTGGCAGGAGGGCTTTCAGGGTAACCTCACGGGTGTGCACCCGGCTCCTCTCCATGGCTCCCGGCCACCCTGGGAGGCATCAGGGTCCCCATCCCTAAGGGGCTTAAGCCTGGAGGCTGCTTAGCTTGGGGACCCCTGGCAGGAACAGGGCCAAACTGTTGTGAGCTCTGGGGATCCCAGCGGCTCCTGGAGCACAGGTCTGCTCCTGGAGCAGGGCTAGCCGCCTCAGGTCCTGGGAGGAACTCGCTTGCCTCCCTCCTGAGACCAGGCCTGTCCTGAGGGCTCGACAGCTATCTCCTGCCCTCTGTCCTCCCAGATGGAGACCTCACGGACACTGTCAGTGGCCCCCGCTCCACTGCGTCAGACCTGACCAGCAGCAAGGCCTCCACCAAGAGCCCCACCCAGCGCCACAACCCCTTCAACGAGGAGCAAGCAGAGCCCGCGTCCTCCTCCGACACCACTCCTGTGCACACTACCTCCCAGGAGAAGGGGGAGGCCCAGGCCCCGGACCTGCCAGACGCCTGCACAGAGCTCGAGGTCATCAGGTCAGCAGGGAGGGGCCCAGGAGCAGGTGGGTAGCATCCTGGTGTCCATCCCATCCGCCTCTAGCATCACATTTTAGTCCAGGACAGGCGAGGGCAGTGGACACGTTCTGGAGAGTAAGAAGTCACTACCCCACCCTTAGGCAGCTCTATAGGAAGAGGCAAGGCCTGTCCAGCTTAGACTCCTGTAATGAAGTCCCACGGCAGCAGAGGTTTCTTTCTCACGCTCTGGAGGGGGGAATCCAGAACCAGGGCGCCATCTTGGTCAGATGCGGATGAGGGCCTCACCCAGGTCCACAGATGCCTGTCTTCTCCCTGCATGCTTCCCTGGTAGAGGGCAGAGGGAGCGCTCTCTGGGCTCCTTTAAAAGGGCACTAATCTCATTCATGAGGGCCCCACCATGTGGCCCAGTCATCTCCCAGAGGCCCATTAGGATTTCAGCATATGCATTTGGAAGGGTCCAGACATCCAGTGCATGGCAACACCCAGGTTCTGGAGGTGGGTGGCAGACGCAGCAGTGACGTCTGGCGTATGGGCCCTGCTCAGGCCACTGGGCATTTGTCTGGTCCGTCAGGACCAGAAAGCATGTTCAGATTGGACTTCTTCCCCAGGGAGTTCTTGGAAATTCATGTAGTTTCTGAGGTTTGTGCCAACTCTAGTTCAGCCTGGCTTATTGAAAGGAAAGCATCTTTGACACAGTGACAGGGACACAGAAGAGGAGGAGGAAGTGAATGGCAAGTTGGGACTCTTGGCCAGAGCCCTCCTGGCTCTCTGACGCCCCCTAGTCCCTTCTCTTGAAATTGCACCCTAAGAAAGAAAAGCTCTGTGTGCATGTCCTGCCTCCAGGAGGCTGGAGGCCCCGCAGGGCTTGCTTCCCCCTGACCGGAGCCAGGGCCCCCCATGGGCTAGTTTGCATCCAGAGCAGTTTTATGTGCAGACTGGGGTTATGTAGCAAGGCCCGCTACAGCCAGGAACCAAACGGTGGGGCCGGGAGTCTGGGCCCAGAAAACTTCGTGTACATTTCTGGGTGATTCGTCCACGGCGACCCTTCACGGGCAGGGCGGTCAGTTTGGCCCACTGTCCACCTCCCAAGGGGAGGGCTGTGGGGGGGGCGGTCAGTCTGACCAGCATGGCCTGGCTTTGTGTCCTAGAGTATAGCCAACTTCGGACCAGCGGTTAGCGTAATGGCTATGTCACTGGACTCCCATGTAGTTGACCGTGGTTTGAGTCCTGGACCCGGTGGCTTAAACTTATGCCGGGCGCATGTGCATGCCCCAGATCCCAAGAGGAGAAGGGATTGCGGCGTGGCCATCCCCCTGGGGGGGGTGATTTCTTGCTTTCTGTTTCTCTGTCTCTCTCTGTTTGGCGAGCACACATGCCCTATAGCAAAAACCTCTCCCCCCAAAAAAGCACAGCCAGCTCAGTTGTCCCCTTGGCTAGAATTCCTAGGGCCTGCCAGGAGGGCCCTCCCTTACTGCCGTCTGTGGCTGCCCTATGCTATCCGCAGCCTTGCCCCTCACCGCCTCACCTCTGCAGCAGCGGTGGGGAGGGGGGCCTCGGGGCCTGAGCCTCTCACCAGCACTGCCCAGGACCACTGGCACTCTGGCTGTGCCCGCAGAGGTCGCACGCCTGAGACGGCCTCTTTGTCCCGCCCAGTCTCCCCCTGTGGGGACACTCAGGCACTGAAGCTCTCCGTCACCATTGTCCCAGGGTCACCAAGAAGAAGAAAGCTGGCAAGAAGAAGAAGACCAGGTCGGATGAGGAGGCCAGTCCGCTCCACCCCACCTCTGGCCAGCAGAAGGGTGCCAAGCAGGGGGATGGTGACAGCCTTGTCGGCAGCCCAGGCCCTGGGCGGGACTCCCCAGACCCTTCCCTTCCTTCTCCCAAGGAGGAGGGGCAGGGGCCCTGCAGCTCCGTGGAAAGCAGCGAGCGCCCCGAGCTCAGCCAGATGGGCTTGCTGATCCCCGAGATGAAGGACACGTCTATGGAGCGCTTGGGACAGCCCCTGAGTAAGGTCATCGACCAGCTCAACGGGCAGTTAGACCCCAGCACCTGGCCTGCCCACGTCGAGCTTCCAGACCAGTCCTTTCGGACCGGCTCTCCCGGGGAAGCCCCGGAGAAGCCGCCACTTTGCGACTTTAGTGAGGGGCTTCCAGCCCCGATGGACTTCTACCGCTTTACCGTTGAGAGTCCAAGCACTGTTGCATCAGGTGGCAGCCACCATGACTCTGCAGGGCCTGGCCAACCGCTACATGTTCCTGGTGGCCCTGCGACTGCTGGCCAAGAAGAAGAGGGAGGAGGAGAGGGACAGACACCTCGGCTCATAGAGGACACCCCAGGGGAGGCTCAGGAGCTGGAGACCCAGCTGCCCCTGGTCAGCGAGGGGCCCATGCCTGAGCCAGAGGCTGGGACACAGGAGGCTCTGTGCCAGCTCAAGCAGGACCAGCCCAGCCCGTGTCCGAGCAGTGCTGAGGACTCCGGGGTGGAGGAGGGCCAGGGCAGCCCTTCTGAGATGATCCATCCGTCAGAGTTCAGGTAAGGCCATCTGCACCGCCAGCACAAGACCATCCCAGTACTTAAAGCAAGGGGCATCAGGCCTCTGACTCCAGATAAACTCAGTAAGGGGGCTGGCAGGTGTCATGGTGGTTAAGGTGCTGGACTCCCACATGGCCGGCAGCAGTTTGAGTCCCAGACCAGGCAGCTTGAAATCATGCCAGGCTCGTGTGCATGCATGTCTAAGATCCTGGAAGGACAGTGGAGGAGAAGGGATTGCAGCGTGGCAGCCCCCCCCAGGGGGTGATGTCTCACTTTCCCACTCTGTCTCTTCCCTCTCTGGCAAACGCACATGCCCTATGGCAAAATCTTTAAAAACAAAACAAAACCCACCAGGGTCAGCAGGTGGCATGGTGGTTAAGGGCACTGGACTCCCACATGGCCGACTGTGGTTCGAGTCCTGGACCTGGTGCCTTGCTTTCTTCCTTTGTCTTTCTCTGTCCCTCTCTGGTCAAATTAAAAGAAGTAAATAAATAAAGCTAAATAAAATAATTCTTTAAAAAAAAAAACAAAAACCTTAGCACAACTCCTGGATGGCCTGGCCATGTTGGGAGATGGAGAAAGGTGTGATCCTCTCTGCCCTGACTGGCTCCTGGCTGCTGGCTTGCATTGTGGGTGCTGTTAGCCGCCTCGCCTCACCCCGCCCTCCCCCCGAAGCCTCACCCTCCCCGCCCTCATGCCTCTCACATCTCTCACAGGGTAGACAACAATCACCTCCTCTTGCTGATGATCCACGTGTTTCGAGAAAACGAGGAGCAGCTGTTCAAAGTAAGCCCCAGGGACTGGGGAATGATTACGAGACAGCGAGGTGGGCTGGGCCACCCACCCCGCCTGGTAGGCCTCGCCCCGCAGACTGAAGCTGGTGTGCTCCGGCCGCCTGACTGTCCGCTTTGCCCTCAGATGATGCGGATGAGCACGGGGCACATGGAGGGCAACCTGCAGCTGCTGTACGTGCTGCTCACCGACTGCTACGTCTACCTGCTCCGGAAAGGTGCCTGCGCCCCAGGCACTGGGCTGCGGATGAGGCTGACCGCCGCCCCCCGTGCCCCGTCCCCTCTCATCCTCTGGGTGACTCGGCTTCCTGGCACCTAGTCAGGAAGGACTCCAGGGAGCTGTTGCTAGCAGGCCCTGTGTCCCTCAGCTAGGAGCCTAGGCCTCCCGCCCAGCCCTTCTGCTCCAGCATCACAGATTGCAGGGCAAGGAAGGGTCCTCTCTGAGAGGCCGGAGGACTTAGAAAGTGGGGCAGGGGGAGGCAAGAGAGGCCAGTGGGAGTAATAGGCATTGGGGTCTCCTCTCTCAGGGGCCACAGAGAAGCCATACCTGGTGGAAGAGGCCGTTTCTTACAATGAACTTGACTATGTGTCGGTGAGTCCAGGCCCCGCAGTTGGCATGCCCGCTGTAGGCACAGGGCCACCCACCCAGGAGCTCAGAGCAAGGCACATCCTCTGGCTCGGCCCCCAGGGTTGGGCACCATCTTTACTCAGAGAGGCCTCTGTCCCTGCGCTGGTCTGAGAACCAAGCTGAGGCCGCCTTCTGTGCCAGACCTCTGACCATCCCTCCCCAACTCGCATCAGCCCGGGCCTCCGGAGCTGTACTTGGTGGGGACCCCAGAGTGTCTCCTCCCTCCCCAGTCCGTGCTCAGTCCCCCCGCCCTCTGCCGGGCAGCAGCCAAGCCCCATGTGCATGTCAGGGTGTGCTTTCTGGCAGGTCGGCCTTGACCAGCAGACAGTGAGGCTGGTGTGCACCAACCGCAGGAAGCAGTTTCTGCTGGACACGGCGGATGCGGCCCTGGCCGAGTGAGTGACAGCCCCACGCCCCTTCAGCATGATGGGGAATCTGCATCTGCCAGTGGCCTGGCCGTGGCCCGGGGGTGGAGGCTGGGAAGCAGGAGCGTAGAGGAGAAAACAGATGGTGCCTGTGTAGCCTGGCCAGAAAGGGAGGAGGGCAGGCAGCGGCTGGGGCCTGGAGGACCTCAGCCCGTTACCTATGGCGGGGGCTGGCATGGGGCACCTGACGGCAGGCAGGCAGAGCCTGTGCTGGGCAGTGGCGTGCCGTCAGGTGCTCACATGTGACATCGCACGTGCCATGACAGTCTGCCTGACCTGGGCTCCGAACATCACCTTGTCTTCCCCATCAGTGTGAACAGCCAGGCCTTTCCCAGTCCCCACATCACTGCCACCCCCCTGCCCCCTGCCCCGGGCTCTGGTTCCAGCGCCCCTTCCCCAAGGTCCGCCACCTGCCCGGCCGAGCTCCCAGGCCTGAGCTCCGGCCTGTGGAGGCCCAGCCCCGGCCTCTGACAGCAAACCCTGCTGCTGTGCAGGTTCTTCTTGGCGTCTTTGAAGTCAGCCATGATCAAAGGCTGTCGGGAACCACCCTACCCCAGCATCCTGACAGATGCCACCATGGAGAAGCTGGCACTGGCCAAGTTTGTGGCTCAGGAGTCTAAGTGTGAGGTGAGACACTGGGAGGAGGGAGGCGTGGTCCCCAGGATGCCAGTGTGTGGGCCGGCCTTGGTTCTAGACTCGCTAGCGTTTCCCAGTCACCCACCTGGGAGGGGCTCTCCACCCTAGGGCCTGGCCCCACCCTGTCTGGGATGTGCCCTCACTCTCTCAGTGACCACTCCTGGTGCTGGGCCATCGGGCTGGGTCCTGCCCCAACCACCAGCTTTGTCTGCCACCCGACCCCCAGGCATCTGCTGTCACCGTGCACTTCTACGGGCTCGTGCACTGGGAGGACCCCATGGAGGAGTCCCTGGGCCCTGTCCCCTGCCTCTGCTCGCCCCCAGAGGGCACTATCACTAAAGAAGGGATGCTGCATTACAAGGCAGGCACCTCCTACCTGGGCAAGGAACACTGGAAGACCTGCTTCGTGGTGCTCAGGTGGGAGCCCCTGTAGCCCCGCACCTCGGGCTTGGGCCCCGGAGGTGGTTGGGCTGTCGGGTCCAGCAGGGATCTCTCTGCAGCAGATACTGAGGAGAGAGGCCCGAGGGGAGGCTGCCTTGTCTTCACAAGGGGTTTTGGGTAGACACCCTAGATTATCAGAGTTTCTCTGTGAGGCCGGACATCTTTGGGCCCAGGGAATCCCGGAGAGCCCTGGGTGGGTGAGGTGGTGAGGCCTGGGTGGGTCCCACTCACAAGCCTTTGGCTGTGCCCCAGAAGCAGCATCCCTTGCTGTGTTCCCCCGTCTTTCTTCACGTCCCGCCCGTAGCAAGCAGGCCCCTGGTCTTCATGGCCACAGCTGTGGGGGCCCCTGGGGCCCGGTCCCTCACGTAGGCATGTTGTCCTCTGCAGCAACGGGATCCTGTACCAGTACCCCGACCGCACGGATGTCGTGCCCCTGCTCTCGGTGAACATGGGGTGAGTGCGCCAGGGTGAGGGCGCCGGGCTGGCCTGGGGCCAGGTGTGGCTGCCTGGGGCCTAGAGCCCCTTTTTCCCTGTTGTGAGTGGCTGTCCCTCTGGTCAGCTCGGCCTTCTTCCTCAGTGCCCGTCACCCAGCAGCCCTGACTGGTGCCCTGGGGGCTGCCAGAACCGAGAGATGGGGCGAGAGAGGAACGGGGAGCTTCTTGTCTGGGAACCCTCCAGTCTGAGTGGGGAGGCTGTCCCTGCCGGGGGAGGACACACACCTGGGCAGGACCACAGCCTGTAAGGGGCATGCTTCAGCTCTGAGCAGGCCTCCCCTGGCCATGCCGAGGTATCTGGAAGGACCCTGGTGATTCCTGAGATAAAGGGTGTTGCCCGGAAAGGAGGAGGGCTGCAGAGCAGCGTGGACTCCCCCGGGAGCCGGGGCCGTGGCCGGCCTTCTGATGTCCTGGGGCCTGTGGGCAGGCCAGGTGTCTGCACGCCTCCAGCCCTCCCAGGGCCGCACCCTGCGCTGCCTGGTCTCCGCGCTCCCATTTCACCCTCCTCCTCTGGCCCAGGGGGGAGCAATGCGGTGGCTGCCGGAGATCCAACACCACGGACCGGCCCCACGCCTTCCAGGTCATCCTCACTGACCGGCCCTGCCTGGAGCTGAGCGCAGAGAACGAGGTTGAGATGGCCGACTGGATGCAGCACCTCTGCCAGGCCGTGTCCAAGGGGGTAAGCACACCCTGCCCCTGCCAGTCACATGGCCTGCCCGGCCTCACACAGCACCCAGGACCTGCCCCAAGCCCACCCCAGTCCGCGAGCAGCCTGTGAGGACAGAGGTGGGACCCGCAGGGAGCACCATCACCACACTACTAGGTGGGCCGCGCCTCCCGGACCTCGGGTTGGGCAGAGGGCCCGCTGGGTCCCTGGATGAGGAGTTCCAGTGCAGACCAGCCGGTGGGACTCAGCCTGCCTCCCACCCACCCCCCGCCCAGGTCATCCCCCAGGGGGTAGCTCCTAGCCCCTGCATCCCCTGCTGCCTGGTGATCGCGGATGACCGCCTCTTCACCTGCCATGAGGATTGCCAGACCAGCTTCTTCCGCTCCCTGGGCACGGCCAGGCTGGCCGACATCTGCGCCATCTCCCTGGAACCGGGCAGGGAGTACTGTGTCTTGGTAAGCTGGAGGGGTGGTACAGGCACAGGCCCTGCGGGAGGAAAGCTGTCTGCTCACCTGGGACCCCGGCTCTCCCTAGGAGTTCTCCCAGGAGAGCCATCAGCTCCTCCCGCCCTGGGTCATCTACCTGAGCTGCACTTCTGAGCTGGAGCGGTTCCTGTCTGCACTGAGCTCTGGGTGGAAAACCATCTACCAGGTACCTCGATCCGATCTGGGAAGCAGGTCAGCAGGGAGGCCCCGCAGGGACGAGGACCCAGCCCTACCCCGATGGTCCTGGGGACAGCTGTGTACCAGTAGCTCTGGGATAGATACAGAATCTTAGAACCAAGGGACAAGCCCCTGGGCCCAGTGAGTCTGAGACTAAAACTGAAAATAGAACCCAGGAAATGCAATTCCTGACCTCATTTCTGATCAGAAAGCACAAATCTGGCTGACTCCATGGCTTGATGGTTAGGCAGCAGGATCCCACAGGCCATTCCCGCTGTTGGAGTCCCAGACCCAGTGGCTTGAGAAATGCGCTGGGTGTGGGTGTGTATGTGCCTCAGATCCCGGCAGGAGGAGCAGTGGAAGGGACCACAGCATGACCGTTACCCACGGGGGCTGCTTTCTCTCTCTGCCTCTCTCTGCTATAGAGCACATGCGCTCGCCAGAAAGACAGAGAGAAAGTGAGAAATCACCCCCCAGGGGGGATGGCTACCCCGCAGTCCCTTCTCCTCCTTTCTCCTCTCGGGATCTTGGGCACGCACGCAGACGCGCCCGGCGTGAGTTGAAGCCACCGGGTCCGGGACTCGAACCGTGGTCGACTACATGGTCCAACAACATAGCCATTACGTTAACTGCTGGTCCCGCTCTGCCTCTCTTTGGCAAGCACATATACCCTGTGGCAATTTTTTTTTAAGCCCAAATTAATGGGGCCGGCAGATGGCACTGAGGTGAAGGTGGCTGGATCCCACATGGTCGGCTGTGCAGTTTGAGTCCCGAGTCCCGGCGGCTTGGAGAAAACATGCCAGGTGCTTGTGCAGACATGCCCCAGATCCCAAAAGAATGGAGAAAGGGGTTGCAGTGTGGCCACCCCTGGGAGTGCCTTCTTATTTTCCCTGTCTCCAATGAATGTATGCCCCCTATAGTAAAAAAAAAAAAAAAAGAATCAAGCCCAAATTAAGTGCTTATAGTGAGCACAGGCACAAGACTGGCGGGACTGTCCAGCTGGCAGTTAGTGGGTAAGGTGCTGGATCCCACGTGGCAGTTTGAGTCCCAGACCTGGCAACATGAAAATCATGCCAGGCCGTGTGCGTGCGTGCCCAAGATCCTGAGAAGGGAATGGAGGAGAAGGGATTGCAGCGTGGCCATCCCCCCGGGGGGTGATTTCTCACTGTACCCGTTTCTGTCTCTCCTGTGCTCTCTGACGAGTGCATGTGCCTTATACCAAAATTATAGCATCCACAAAGAAAGACTGCAGGACACTCCTGGCCGCAGCTCAGCCCCGTCTGGAGGGCGCTCCCAGCCCCAGCCCCAGCCCCAGCCCCGTGGGAGCTCCGCACTGGCCTGGGCAGAGGACTGCCACGCCTCTTGTGCCTCCCCAGGAAGCAGGGGGCCGGAGAGCAGGGCCCCAGCGCCTCCAGCTGCAGATGACCTGACAGGGCTCGGTGGCCTGGGCCAGAAGCCCCCATTGTGCCTCTCACCTTCCCCGTATGCCCCGCACAGGTGGATCTCCCCCACAAGGCAATCCAAGAAGCCTCCAACAAGAAGAAATTCGAGGATGCTCTGAGCCTCATCCACAGTGCCTGGCAGCGGAGTGACAGCCTTTGCCGTGGCAGAGCCTCCCGGGACCCCTGGTGCTGAGGCGGAGCTGGCGGGCACCCCTGGTGGGGAGAAAGGAGGCACATTGGCCAGCAGGCACCCCATCATGCTGCGTCACCGTCACTGTGCCGCTCGGAGCCAGGCTTCCACGCCCTTCACAGCCTGCCTCTGCCCCGGGCAGCACAGCGCCACGTGTGGCTCAGACGGGGTTCAGAGCGGTGCACAGCGCCCCGGGCATTCTGCCCAAAAGGAGCGACGAGACTGCTGGGGCCGAGGGCCGAGCCCTGTGGGCTGCAGGTGCTCGCCCTCGGCCAGGCCACCGCCTCAGCCCACGCCTTCAGGAAGAGAAGGCGCTGAGAAGAGTATCCATCTAAGGGGGAGCTAAGGACTAGGAGGGTGGGAGCCCCCTTTCCTCTCCTGGGTCAGGGGCCCAGCAGAGACTCAGAGCCACCAGAGGGCCCTGAGTGCCGGCTATTGTTCGTTTTGGAACATGCTTCGGGCTGTGCAGGGAAGCCAGACCACTAGGTGTGTGCATGCTTCCTCCTGCCTTCCACCTGTGGCACAGCTGCCACCTGGCCCGAGCCCAGGGTTCGGCTGCGGTGAGGCAGCTCTCCCCTGCTGCCAGGAGGCCCTGCATGCCCACAGCCCTGCCCCTGCCTTTCCCCACAGCCCAGCAGTGCCTGGAGGACCCAGGAATCAGCCACTTCCTTTGCCAGGAGCAGAGGGGAGGCAAGGACGGGTTGGAGAGGAGCAGAGCCTGCCAGCCTGGGGACACACTGTCTCCTGACCCCTGCTTGGCCGCAGCCGCACCCTCCCTGAGCGCGTTGTCAGCCCTCTGGGGAAGGCGTCAAGTGGTCTGGGTTTTTGTTTTTTTAAAATAAAATAGACATGTTATATTGCCAAGCCTTGTCACTGCCCTCCGCGCGCGGGGTAGGGGTAGCTCTCCCCTCACCGTGCAAAGCTTTCTTTGTCACCTGCCTGTGCCTGACTCATACACAGGGAGCCAGGTCAGCCCTGTCACCCCCATGGCACTCACCCTCAGGAGGCGCTTGGGCCCTGGGAGTTTGTCGGCCCTCCCTCCTGTCCCTGCAGCCACCAAGGGAGGACTGGTCTGCACCACTCCCCCACCTGCTGCCCACTCAGCCCTGGGCTGGGCACTCCTGCTCCCTGGTCTCTGTATCTCTTGAGTCCACACCGTCCCCATGGCCTCTTGTGGAGCTGTCCCTCTTCCCCTGGAGCTGGCCAGAGGATGCCAAGCCTTCCAGACAGGGGGCTTGAGGGCCTTAACCATTCGGCACTGCCACCTGAGGGCATCCACTGGGAAGAGGGCGGGCACCAGAGCGGAGGGCATGGGGCTCCAAGCAGGGCCCTTGGCCTCCGGCTTTGTGGGACCCAGCGATTCAGGGTGGCTGGGCAGGAGAAAGCTGCTTTGGCGACAGGCCAGGGTGGGCAGCACCTCTGCCAGGTGCTCTGAGCCATGCTGGGGTGGGCGTTCCCTCAGCAGGCACAGAGCTGACCCATCCCAGGCCCCCACTCTGCCAGGACTCCGGGGAGCCCTGCACCTCCTGCCCACACAGGAGGGGGTCCCACCAGCTGGAGGGCAGGCCTGGTGGGCACATCCCCCATCTGAGTGTGACAGCACAAGGTCACCCGCTCCTCGAGACACAGGCCAGGGACTCTAAAGCCCTGGGGAGCAGGGATGGGGCTGTCAAGCCAGACAGCGTGGGGCGGGTGGGGACCGTCACCTTTCACTGGGCGAAGCCCTGTGCCAGACATGCTCCTCATGCATCTCCAGCCCTCCAGAGTAGGTGGCAGTATCCCCGCCCCACGAGGAGGGAGGGAGCCCTAGGACGCTCAGACAGGTCGTGCCTGCCCCTCACAGTCACCTGTGACTCACATCAGCTCCCTGGGATCCCTTCTCTACCTGCCCTGGCTGAGGGACGGACCAGGGACCAGCCAAACTGGAACCTGGGGGGGAGGAGGAGTGAGGCAGTGCCAGGGGCCTCCTGCCTAGGCACCCGCCCCCTGCACAGGGCTTTGTCTTAAGCCAGAGGCAGGGCAGGAACACCAGCCTTTCACCCAGGGCCACTCCGAGGGCAGGAGGAGGTGCCTGGGCTGGTTGGTACCTTTTTCCCACCCCCACTCTCCCTCTGCCAAGTGACCTTTCGCCCAGATCCCAGGGTCCAGGCCCGCCCAGCCCCACCCCACCGGGAGGTGTGGAAGACAGAGGCAGCTGGGATTGGTCAGGGCCCCTGGGGGCGTGTCCCAGGCTGGGCAGACCTGATCAGTTGGTCTGCAGAGACAGCAGGTGGACTCCCTAGATAGATCAGGGCCGGGGCGCTGCTGGCCTGCTTGACCTGGACCCCCACCTCCTAGACATGGTGCCAGGCCCCCTCAATCCCCGGACCCATGGCCCTGTGGGGGTATAGACAGCCTAAACGCTGCCACCCCAGGCCTGTGCCATGCCCCTGACTCGGGCACAGCCAGCCCCTGGCTCTGAGGACGTGGAGATGGTGCCCCCAGCTGTCGACCTGGTGCTGGGCGCCTCAGCCTGCTGCTTGGCCTGTGTCTTCACCAACCCCCTGGAAGTGGTGAAGACAAGGCTGCAGCTGCAGGGGGAGCTGCAGGCCCGGGGTACCTACCCCCGTCCCTACCGGGGCTTTGTGGCCTCTGTCGCCGCTGTGGCCCGTGCAGATGGCCTGTGGGGCCTGCAGAAGGGGCTGGCCGCCGGCCTCCTCTACCAGGGCCTCATGAACGGCGTCCGCTTCTACTGCTACAGCCTGGCCTGCCACACTGGCCTCACCCAGCAGCCAGGTGGCACTGTGATCGCAGGCGCCGTCGCGGGGGCACTGGGAGCCTTCGTGGGGAGTCCTGCTTACCTGGTGAGTGCCTTGTCTCCTCCACCACGGAGACCCCGTTCCAGCAGGGGCTCTGTGGTCCAGGGGCTCCACAGACCTCGCTGAGGGCAGAGGGTACAGGCTGGGTGGGGCTGCTCCCTGGAAATGCCCAGCCTGGGCCTGGAATCTGCCCCTTGGCCAGGTCATGGGGGCCTTGCTCTGACCCTCATGCCCCTGGGGTGCTGCCCTCTGGGCCTGCCGGGCAGGAGGCAGGGGTGATGAGAAGTGTACGGGCTCAGATCGCAGCTTGTCACTTTCTCCGTGTGGGAAGTTAGTTCAGACAAGGGCTCGCCACGTCCTAGCTTCCCAAGGGTGACAGAACTGAGGCCTGAGACAGAGCCATGCCCCAGTCACCGAGATGCAAACCCAGGCCGACTCCAGTCCTGCCACTCAGGTCCACTCTGCCTGGTCCCCTACGCTTCGGGCATGGGATCGGGGGCTCTGGGCTTCAGGGGCTCAGGGTCGGGGCAGGGACACCCACAGCAGGTTTAGCCCTTAGGCTGCACCCCCACACCCGCCATCACCCTGGCTCTCACAGGTCAAGACGCAGCAGCAGGCCCAGACGGTGGCCGCGATGGCCGTGGGACACCAGCACCACCACCGGGTAAGGATGTCACTCTTGGACCCCTGGGCTGTGTGGGCTGGAGGGGCTCCCGGGCTGGGAAGGAGTGTCCACTGACCTGTGCCCTCTCCCCGCAGAGTGTCCTGGGTGCCTTGGAGACCATCTGGCGGCAGCAGGGCCTGATGGGACTGTGGCGGGGCGTGGGTGGGGCTGTGCCCCGAGTCATGGTGGGCTCAGCCGCCCAGCTGGCCACCTTCGCCTCTGCCAAGGCCTGGGTGCAGGAGCGACAGGTGAGGGGCTGGGGACACCCCTGCCATGCACACAGACACAGAGGAGAGAGGAGGGTCACCCTCCCTTCCACACAGGGACATAGGGGTCCCTTAGGAAACCTGGGGCCGGGCTCTGCCCTCAAGGTGTGACCCTGGCCCTAGTAAAAGCGAGGGGTCCACAGTGACCCCTGAAGCTCTAACGGAGGTCGGGCAGTAGGCAGGGGTGAGCAGGCAGGAGGGGCCTCATCTCCCCTCTCGCCCCAGCCCTTCCAACCCTGTATGGGGGGGCACCTTGTGGGTGGGCAGAGGGCAGTGGCAGGGGTCAGCAGCCTGTGTCCCCCCACAGTGGCTCCCAGAGGACAGCTGGCTGGTGGCCCTGGCGGGGGGCATGATCAGCAGCATTGCCGTGGTTGCCGTCATGGCCCCCTTCGACGTGGTCAGCACGCGGCTGTACAACCAGCCAGTAGACGGAGCCGGCAGGGTGAGCGGGGCTGGGGTGGGAGCTGGGAGCACGCCCCCCACATACCAGCTGCAGGCAGCCGTGGGATGGATGTGTGAACACGTGGCCCAGCTGCGGGCTGAGCACCTACATCCGGCCCATGCTGGGCACGTTCACGTCAGGTCCTGTTCTGTCCTTCCACCTCCAGTCTCCTCCCCTGTCCCAGAGAGAGCGAGGGGCCTACCTGAGGTCACCCAGCTGGTCAGGGGAGGGGTCCGAATTGCACTCTAGGCCTGAGTCTCAGCTTCCCTGGCAGTGCCCGCCCCTGATGTGCCCCATGTGAAAGTGCCCTTCCCAGGGAGGTTAGAGAAGTCGGCCTGGGTGCCTCCAGCCACACTGAGCCCCTAGCCCGCAGCTGGGGCCCCCTGCCAGGAAAGGCCAGCTTGTCTTCTGTCACTGCCTACACGGTCACCTTCCTGTCGTTGGCACAGCCGGGGTCCGTGCAGCAGGTGCTCTGGGCACGGGTACACCTGGTTGTGGCAGCATGTCCTATAGCCTTCATCGTGACATCCCACGTCTGTCCCTAGGGCCGGCTCTACAGGGGCCTCGCCGATTGCTTGGTGAAGATCTGGCGGCAGGAGGGGCCCCTGGCGCTCTACAAGGGCCTGGGCCCTGTCTACCTGCGCCTGGGCCCCCACACCATCCTCAGCATGCTCTTCTGGGACGAGCTCCGGAAACTGGCCCGGCGGGCTCAGCACCAGGGCACCTAGGCGGCATCCCACGTCCTGCATCCTCACCCAGCCTGCCGTTGACCAGCGGAGACCCCTGCTCCACCAGGACGACTATCCCAGAGTAGGCCACAGGCCCAGGGCCTGCCACAGGCCCAGGGCATCCAGTCCAAATTAACACTCACTCTGTTCTCCAGAAAGTCCTCTGATAACTGCCATGGGCATGAGTGTCACCAGAGCTGAGGGACTTCTTTGTGTCAGCTCACGATGTCCGCAAGCAGTGTGGGGCAGTTCAATCCTTTTAGTAAGGAAGCTGAGGCCAAGAGAGGTGACACGGCTGTGACCAAAGCCACGCCACTCTGAAGGGCAGAGCCAGGGCTGGAACGTACCTCTGGTTGCCCTTGAGAAGAGCCACCGAGCCAGGACCGGGGCTGGAGTTGCCTTCGGGGATGGCTGTGCATGTGGGGAGCCCCCCAGCTGCTCCATGGGTGTGGTGGCAGTCCCACCACTCATGTCCTCATGTTCCCGAGGCTGTCTGACCAAGGCACTCTCCCTGTGCCCTCCCTGGCCTCCCCCTGTGTGTGCCTGCTCCTCACCTCTTCTCATGAGGACCCCAGTCATCTGGATTTGGGCCACCCTCGTGACCTATTGTGACCTCATCGCCCCCCAAAAGGCCTGCTCTCCTTACACAGTCACATGCTGAGGCGCTGGGCTTAGGGACTCAGCCTGAGAATTTGGGGGGATAGTTTAGCCCAGAATGTCATCTGAGGGCTTTGACTGAGGCCTCCTGCCCAGGTGCCCAACGTGCGCATGACATGTCCCCTTACTGACGAGGAGACGGGGTCCCAGCAAGTCCAGGCCACGGTCCTACGGAGCAGAGCCAGTAGTGGGCCTGGCAGGTGCCCCTGGGCCCTCTCTCGCCCGGCGTGTTCCCTGACTCCCTGGGATGACCAGGCCAGGGTCAAGCAGCCACGCCTACGTTCCCGGTCATACCCTGTGCCTGTTAGAGCTATTCCCCAGAGTCACCCGTCCCCATAGACACTCCACACCAATAAAGTTTTCTATTTTGTTTACGTCAATGAATCCCGTCTGCAAGCAGCCTCAGTCTCCCGGTTCCTGAACCCCTGCCCTAGGTCAGCCTACCTGGCCTGAGCCAGTCGTGACTGCCACCTAGTGGACACAGGAGGAACACCTGGACGGGCAGCCCCAGGGAGGGCCAGGCTGAGCTGGAGAGAAAGGATTCCAATCTCAGGCTCAGGAGGCTCCACGCAGGCCACTTCCTGGGAGCCGAGCCGGACCCCAGGCCGTGGGGGGACAGATCTTCACTTTCAGACCTCGGGCCGTGGGGGGACAGATCTTCACTTTCAGACCTCGGGCCATGTGGGGACAGATCTTCAGTTTTAGACCTCGGGCCGTGGGGGGATAGATCTTCATTTTCAGACCTTCCAGGCTGAGGGCAGGACACAGACCCAACGCTGGGGACAGATAGAGGCCCCGGGCTTTGGGAAGACATTGTGTGCTTCAAGCCAGAGTTCGGGGGCGGGGGAGTGAGGAAACTGGACATCAGACAAGCAGAGACAAGGCCAGCCTCAGAGACACCTCTTGGCTCCACTCTCCAAACAGTGAGCACAGGGCCAGGGCAGTGGGTGGTTCCCACAGCCTCTCGTCCCCGCGGCCTTCTCCTAAAGCCTGGAAGGGTGAAGGCCCTGGCTCCCATCCCCTCCCCTGGGCCTCTGACCCCTTCTGGGCCCTCCTCTCCACTCCCCTCCCTTCATCTAGGCCTTTGACCGCTCCGGGCCCTCCCCTCCACTGACACCTTTGCTCAGTGACGTCAGTCTGTCCCTGCGCAGACCTGCCAGAGGCTGGGGCTGGATCCAGGCTGCCATGTTCTCCCTGCTGTCCCTCCCCTCCTGGCTTCCCAGCCTCCCCACCCTCGAGTGGGGCTCCAGCCTCCTCGACTGCCTCCTGCAAGGTGAGCGCCTTCCCCCCACTCTTGCCTTGCCTGCCCCCTCCTGGCCAGCTCTGGGAAGTGCAGGGACCCCTCTCAGATTGGTCTCTACCATCGTGGCTGTCCCCTTCCCTAACCTCCCACCCTCCCAACACCCTGCACCCCGCGTCTGCTGCCTCTTTCCTTCCCCTCAGGCCTTATTGGGGCCTTCGGAGTCTCGGTCCTGAGCAATCTCCTGAAAGTTTACTTCTTCGTGGGCTGTGCCAAGTGAGTGCCCCCCACCCATCACTCTGAGCCCCCTACTGGGCCCCAGGCCTGCACTGTCACACCCGACTCTTTGGGGAGGGCTGGAGGGATGAGGCCACCTCTCCCTCGCCACAGAGAGTGACTGGAGGCACCAGGACCTCCCTCAGGGACTGAGGCTGGTGGTTCTGCACCCCTGCCCACACCTGCTCCGCCCCCTCAGTGACCCGAAGCGGCAAGTCGAAAAGGAACGGCTGCAGGGGCGGTGGGCCTCGCTGGAGATGGTGCACCTGGCAGGGCTGACCCTGATCTTCACCGTCGTGGGGGCCCGGGTGGCAGCCCTGGTGGTGCTCGAGTTCTCCCTCCGTGCCGTGTCCACACTGCTGTCCCTGGGCAAGGTGAGGCTGCATAGAAGGTGCTGGTGAGCCGCTCCCTGGCCGGGCTGGGACGGGACGTGGGGGGTATGCCAGTCACTGCCACCTGCGTTCTGTATGAGAGCAGGCAGGGCACCAGCTCGCCCTCCAGTTACAACTGCCAAAGCACAGTCCCCTCATGGTACGGCCCCAGCCCAGAACAGCGGCTGCTCCTGGGCATCTCACATAGCCAGCCATGCAAGTACTTAGAGAGCACGGCCTCATCTGGGCCTTGCGTTCCCATTTCAACTGGGGACACACCAAGGCTTTGTGAGAGTATGCGGCCTGTCCCGGGTCTGTAACCAGACATAGAGTCGGGCTTTGAATCAGGTCTCCCAGGCTCGGAACTACCACACTTTAGCTCACAGATGAGGCCACGGAATAAGATACAATAGAAATTAAAGGGAGAGGGACTGGCAGGTGGTGTGGTGGTTAAGGCTCTGGACTCCCACGTGGCCAAACAGTTCAGGTCCTGGACCTGGTGGCTCGCTTTCTCTCTGCCACTCTCTGTCCTTCTTTAGTCAAATTTTAATTAATTAATTCATTAATTCTTAAAAAATTAAATAAGGGGAGAGATGGCCTGGCTTGTCACCACGTGGTTAAGGGGGTTGGATCTCATATAGCCAACCACGGTTTGAATCTAGCTGGAGAAACATGCCTCTGGGCACATGCGTGTGCGTGCCCCAAATCCCAGCGGGATGGAGAGATGGAAAGGAAGAGATCGTGACATGATTATGCCCCATTGGGGTGTCCTCTCTGTCTCTCTCTCTCTCTCTTGTGAGCTCATATACCCTCTGGCAATACAAGAAGGAAGGAGGGACCAGCAATTGGTGTAATAGCTATGTTGCTGGACTCTCATGTAGTCGACTGCAGTTCAAGTCCCAGACCCGGTGGCTTAAACTCACACCAGGTGCGTGTGCGTGCATGCCCAGGATCCTGAGAGGAGAACGGAGGAGAAGGGATTGCGGCGTGGCCATCCCCCCTGGGAGGTGATTTCTCGCTTTCTGTCTCTCTGTCTCTCTCTGTCTGTCTGGCAAGCACACACACCTTATAGCAAACACGTCTTAAAAAAAAGAGAAGAAGAAGGAAAGAGGGAAGGAAGGAAGGAAAGAAGAAACTAAGCCAAGAGAAACGAGCCCTTTAGGGCTTATCCTGAAGCCGATATTCCCTCTGGAGTGATCCCAAGGTCTCTCCAGGCCCCAGCACCTGTAAGGTGACAAGGCCTTTCTTCTGCCACCTTTTCCTCCAGGGCTCCCGGGGCCCCGAGCAGCTCCAGCTCTACCTGCTGTCTCAGTACTCTCTGGGCTGCGGACTGACCTGTGGCCTGAGCTTCCTGCAGGAGGGCGCCCCTCACCGCACCCTGAACCTGCTGCTGAGCCTTGGGCTGGCCGCACTGCTTGGCACCAGTGCCCGGCGCCTGCACCGCCACGTCTGCCGCCTCTACGAGCTGCACAGCAGCCAGCAGTACTGTGGGGTCTGCCTGGGGCTGCTGGCCGGCGCGGACGGCCTTCCCCAGCTGCTGGGCCGCGCCCTGGCTGTGGCCTTTGCTGTGGGTGACCTGGCGGCTGTGGCCCTCATCAACCAGGACTTCCTGAGCACCTCAGAGGCCGTGCGCTTCTGGACGCCACTCACCATCTGCTACACACTGCTTGTCATCTACATGCAGGGTGAGGACCCCGGGCCCTGGCGCATTCAGCAGGCGTGCACGTGCTACTCGCTGTCACAGGCTGCTGTCCCAGAGCTCCCAGTGCTAGGCCGAGCCATACGGTTGGGCAGCTTAGAGAAGGGTGTGGCGTGGTGGATGCCCTGGACTTGGCACTTAGATTGGGCCTTGAAGAAGATATGGACAAGCAGGAAGTCCCAGAGAGAGGTATGGGGGAAAGGAATTGTGGGCAGACAGACCCACACATGCCAGGGAGAGGAGGAGGCTGGCGAGGTTTGGAGAAGCCTGATGGGGAGCCCCTGTCAGTCAGGCTAGGCTGTCTGCGTAGGACTGCCACCAGGTCCTGGGCAGACGAGAGTGACCTGGTTGCATCTGGGCGCTGGAAAGAGCTGCCCAGCTGCAGAGTGGGGAGGGTGATCCAGGCCGAAAGGACAGCAAGTGCAAAGGCCTGAGTGGCGGGCTCCAATGAACGAGAAGAAAACCAGATGGCTGAGGGGCGGTGAGCACAGAGGGAGTCAGAGGTGAGCCGAGACTAGGGAGTCGGTCGGGCTGGCGCTGGGACCTGGCGAAGCAAGGCTTGGGCTTGGATTTCCACCCAAATACGCCGGGAAGTCCCAGGAGGGTGCTGAGCAGAGGCGGTTTCACCTAGATGTGTTTAGAAGGTCACAGCCACGGGACTGCAGGGCCACGCTCGGGAGCCCGCAGCCTGATGGAGAGCTGCTGCGAGAGAAGGTGGCCGGGCCCGGGGTGGGCTGTGCCTGGTAGAGAGAGTCCGCAGGGCTCCCTGATGCGTCAGACCTGGGTGCGGGAGGGCAGGAGCCAGGACGACCCAGCAGTGCTGCTGGCTGCCACCGTGAGGCTGGCCCGCTCCATCTTAGACCAGAGGGTGCTCAGGAGTGGGAGTAGGGACTGAGGACAGAAGGCCACAGCGGGGTGCTTGGGAGGTCCGGGCAGCCCCAGCTGGACCTCGGTGGGGCCGGGGCGTGGCCGCAGGTGGTGACAGTGCCCTGTGCCCGCAGAGGAGCAGCGGCTGCGTCCCGGCATGCAGAGCCAGGTGCAGACGGTGCTGGTGCGCATGGGTGGCCTGTTTGTGCTGCTGCTGACCGTGGGCCGCTGGCTGGACCTGCTGGGCATCGTCGTCTCCCTGCTGGGCGAGCTCTGGTGTCTGCTGGGCGTCCGCACTCTGCTCGACCTCTGCCAGATTCAGGTGGGCACCCCCGCCCCGCACTTCCCCCAAACACCAACACCCTGTTCCAAACAGCCTCGAGAGGCCCAAGCTTAGAAGAGTTGGGGAGATCTTTCTCAGAGTCGAGGGGCAGGGGAAGTGGGAGTCCTCTCTCCAACGCCTCTGTAGCCAGGCCTGGTTGTCCTTGAGGTCACTAGGAGTGGGGAGGTTGAGTGGCACCCCCCTCTACAGCTACAGTTCACTCCCACTCGAGCCTGTACCCTAGCGGCCTGGACCTGGAGGAGGGTCCCAGATCCCTGGAGGCCTGAGGCCCTGCAGGGGGCAGAGCAATGGGTGGTGTCCTCCGTTCTTCCCTCTTGCCTTCTCTCAGGATTTTCCATCCCAGAGGACTTCAGAGGCAACTCCAAGCCAGCCTCTGCCCTCGGCCCCAGAGGACCGCCCCCTCCACACCTACCTCAGGGAGGACTTGAGGTCTGTCCCAGGCCATGCAGACTGACCTGTGAGGACATTGTCTGCGGGCAGATTGGAAGGACTAGCCCCACCTGGACCTTGGGCTAAACTGAGGGCCCCCAGGGAGGGTGCTTCTCAGGAGAGCGGGGGCACCGGGTTAACCCCTCTGTATCTCAGGGTGGGCTGTGGGTATAGGCTCCTCAGACCCACCTTCCTGGGTGGGGTTGGAGGCTTGGGAGCAGACTGCCACCATGGGATGTTTCCCGTTATGGCCTCCTCGCTCTTTCCCCAAATAAAGGTGATGATTCTTACAGCTGTGCTTAGAATCAGGCAGAGACGGGCCGGCAGGTGGTGTGGTGGTTGAAGGCACTGGACTCCCACAGACTGCGGTTTAAGTCCCAGACCTGGCAGCTTGCTTTCTCACTTTCCTTCTCCCTCTCTCTGGTCAAATTAAAATAGATGAATGGATAAGTAAAAGAAATAATTATTTAAAAAATAACGACAATATTTTTAAAGAAAATAATAAATAAAATTAAGTAAACAATTCTTTTTTTAAAAAAAGGGATCACAGAGAGGGAAAGTGGCCTTCTGAGGTCACACAGCCCTTCTGTCAGCATCCAGGTATGTGCAACGGGCTGGGGGCCTTGTGGGACAGGGCTCCTCGCCAACGGGAAAGGAGTTCACGGGGGCAGGGTATCGGGGCCGAGGAGGTGAGGGCGGGTGGGTGGACACGTGGCCTTGTGCCCACTTGCTGTCTTGGGTGGACGGCGCACATGTGCTGTTGCAGCCCAGGCTGAGAACCAGCTGGAGGGAGCACGGTGCTGAGGAGGCCTCCTCGGGGCCCTGGGGTCCCCAGCCCCTGACCCCGACTTGGCCACGATCACAGGGATCCTTTCTATATCAGCCACTCAGCCTGGGGATTCAAACCGAGGTCACCTTGTGTGACCCGGCTTCTCCTGAGCCGTGCATGACCCCTGTGTTGTGGGTCCAGCTCTGTTACCCCTTTTTTACTTGATTTCTATTTATAATTTTCTTTTTAGTTTGCTACAGGATACATATCTCACTAGAGAGATAGACAGAGACATAATCTGAAAGAGGAAATACACACCATAAAAAAAATCAAATGGAGCTATTAGAGATGAAGGCTGCCATTCAGAAAACTGTGGAACGAAGGTGGATCTCAAGGTAGCCAACAGAAGCTCTTAGAAAGATGGCCTGGCACCATAAACAGTTCTGCCTGGCAGAGAGGATTAGAAAAGATAAATGAAAGAATTTATAACATAAAATAACCTGGACTTTTCCAGCCCAGCATTGTCATCAGTAGAGATGGGAAAAGAGCAACCACACCAGAGGATAATCCTGAGAAAGACTTTAAAAAAAAAAAGGTATTTATTTATTTAATTCCATTTATGATTATTATTTTTCAATTTGGCCAGAGAGAGAGAAAGGGAAAGGGAGAAAGCAAGCTGCCAGGTCCAGGACTCAAACCATGGTCAGCCATGTGAGAATCCAGCGCCTTTAACCACCAAGCCACCTACTGGCCCCTGAGAAAGACTTTGAAGGAAGAAAAAGAGACTGATCTTTGCTAGCAGATGGTCTATCACAGAATGCTTGGTAGGCAGGGCTGAATTGAGAAGGTTTATGTGTGACTTGTGTGCTGGACATTTGCTTTTCAACAATTTGAGTAGTTGACGTGTAAATATTTTCTCAGAAATATGTAAAACCATACTGTTGGGACCAGCAGGTGGTGTGGTGGTTGAGGTGATGGACACTCCCACATGGGCGACCGTGGTTTGAGTCCCAGACCTGGGGGCTTGCTTTCTCATTCTTTCTCTCTCTCTCTCCCTCTCTCTGTCTGGTCAAATTAAAATAAATAATGAATAAATAAGATTAAATGAAGTAATTTTAAAAAGACTACTTCCCAACCTTTAAAATAAAAAAAATATATAAAAAAACAACCATGCGGTCTCTATTGTTATAGTCACAAACAAAATTAAGCAAAATTATAAGAAATATTTTGAACATTATCTTTAAAATTCAGTATTTTGAAATTTCAAAAGTTGTTTATTAATTGTCAAGAACTGTGGGGAACCAGCAGTTAGCATAATGGCTATGTCGCTGGACTCCCACGTAGTCGACCACGGGTGGGAT